TGGACAATATGAAACATCTAAATTGTATAAAAAATTACTACTAACAATACAAAAAAAGTTATGAAAAGGTTGGTGTACACTAAAAAAAAAGTAAAAATAATACTATTATCATACATAAGGGTATTCAAAATTTTCTTTAAAAAGATTAATTTTTAATTTTCTTTTTATAATACATGCATACAAATAAGAAGTTTCATAAAACGTATTTTATAATTTAATATACAATATTATCTATTGAAATTATTTTAAATTTTAATTTATTTCCCATTTTTATTTTTACTTTATTTTTTTTGGTATGTATTATTTCCACTTATTGTATTTTTATGTTGTAATCAACTTTCTTTTTTTTTATATAGATTATGCCTTTTTTGCATGCTAATATTTTCTATAATTTCAATAACATTTTTACAAATAACATTTTTTGTTATATTATACATTTTCTTAATTCTACAAAGATTATATAGAAAAGATTAATATTTTTATATCAATAGTTTATATAATATGACAATAAATAATACCTTATTCAAAATTTCTTATTAAATTTTAATTAAAAAAAAAAAAAAAAATAGCATCTATATCTTAATAGGTGATTGTTCATTAAATTTATAGAGTATTGAACATACAAATAAATCAAAATTATATAGATTATTCTCCATTAATTTTATTTACTGTAAAAATAAGCTCCTTTTTAAGTAAATAAGCTTTATACGTGTATATAGAATAATATCTATTTTTTTTTTAATATTTATTTGATTCAATAAAAATTTATTCTTGCTTTGTTAAAAATTAAGCTTTCTTTATAAAAACTTTCAAATATATGTAAAATAATATTTTTATAGAAAATAAGAATTTCTCACTAGAATGAATAGTAATCTATTCTAAAACATATAAAAATTAAATAATAGCGAAAACAAAATCCTCTTTGTTTTTCAATACACTTCAAATATAATTTTTCGTTATTCATTAAAAAGCTAAAAATAAAAAAATTTTTTATTTCTTATTAAAATTTAAAAATATAAATAACAAAAACAATTTAGAAAAAAAAAATATATATTTTTTTAAGTAGCTATTTCTTCAAATAGAAAGCATGCACAACTTTTTATTTCCCATATAACTTATCAACTATTACTTTATAAAAGTCTAATAACACTTTATATTAACAACCATAATTATAACATGAAAATTATTTCATGAATTTTTGAATTTCTTTTTTAAACATTTTAACACACAAGGAAATAAAAATAGATTTCATTTGCATTTTTATTTTTTTTCTCCGAATATTATGTGAAATTATTTCAAATGTATTTTTGAAATTTTCAAAAATTAATACTTAGTTTATCTTCACAGAAATTTTATATTCTTTTTAATATTATATATTTAATTATTTTCCTTCAATATAACTAGATTTATATATAATTATATCTTATTAATTGACTTATAATTTGAGAAATTAAAAATTTTTTTCCATTTGCATTGTCCAACATAATAGAAAAAAACAAATTTTATTTTACATAAAAATGTTTGTATGATATAATTTTTTATTATCTAAATTTTTGAATTTTTTTTCCAATAAATAACATTATATACCTATTTCTAATTTAAATGTGAATTATTATGAAATTAATTCAATTTTATTTGTGCATGAATATCATGTCAGTAAAACAAATATATAGAAATACATAAACTATAAATACATATAGTGCATTATATGTTTTAACATGTGAGTAAAAATTATTTTTTATTTTTTCTATTCTTAAAAAAAATGTATTTTTTTCATTTCATTTTTTCTTTTAACATCATAATTTTGTCTTTTCAGAACTCCTGATTTTTAATTTAGTGAGTCCTCATAAGGATATGTGAAATATTATCTCTGTAATGTATATGTTGACTCAAGTTTGAAATGAATGACAACGTTGATAAATAAAGATACATTAATAAAAAAATTATATAAATAAAATAAAATTTATTCTAAAAATAAAAATAAATATTGTTTTAAAATAAATAGAATAATTTATGAGTAATTAACTATCATTTATAATAATCAATAATAAATATAATAAGTAAAATGAGTAGAGATTATCTAAGTGGTTGATTAATTGTCTATTTATCGATTTTCCTAGATTAATGAACAAACATATTAATAAAGAGCGTGTAAAGTTGTCTCTATTAATTTAATGAATTTAAATTTAATTCTATAAACCATTAAAACGTCTTATATATATAGTCGGTTTATTAACTGGATGTTCGATAACTTTGCTATAGTACTGAACAAACAAATTAATAAAGAGCATGTAGAGCTGTCTCTACGATTTTAATGCATTTATATATATTTTTATATGTTTCGAACAGGTGATTTTTAATTATGTAATTTACTTTATTCAGCATTCTTTAATTTCAATAGGCATTTATTTACTTTAATAAAAATCCTTATTTAATATTGATTATTATTTAATTGTAAATTATTTATTTTTTTGTTATGAGTTATGTTCAGCAATTTATATATATTGCTGTTGAATTAACAAACATAAACAATCAGTAAAAATGCAAATTAATTATATGAATATGAATTACGTGAAAATTTTATTGTCATATGTATAAAATTTTCTTTCACAAATTAAAAATATAAATGTTATGCAAATTAAATTCTTTTATGTAAATATTTTTATCTGTTTAAGATCTCATTTTTATTGGTACTAAATCTAACTCTCGATTTTTATTTTACCAATCGTTTTCTTTTCAATTCAATCATTTAAAAAAAATAAATATCTTTTTTTCTTTTGCGTATCTCTGTTTTTTTTTTTTTTTTTTTTTTTCGAGCGTGCACAACCAACTACGTATTCTTCATATAGCTAGTCCTTTTTATTACCAAAAAGGTTAATGAAGCCTTTTATTAACCACAAAGTCACCGAACATCCAGTTAATAAATCAAATATATAAAATAAAAAATTCTTTATAACTATATACTTTAATTAAAATTTTAGATTATACGTCATTTTATATTCTTAAATATAGATATTAGTTTATTATAATTGTTAGACACTTTTTCCTCTATTGCTTATATTTATTTTTATTTTGTATTTCTTTTTATCCACTTTATTTTTTTTAAGTTATTTTATTTTTTATTAGTTACAATAGAGTAATTCATTTATATATATTTGGTTTCATGAAAAATATTACAATTTCAACTTATTCTCTATTTAAAAAGTTTAATACCATTGGATAATTTTATTACTATATAACTATTAACACTCTTCATTATTATCAAAAGCAATAAGTGTAAAATAACTTCATCATTGTAATAATTTATAATTTGCATAACATTTATTTTATTTTAAATTCAAATATTATTTTTTGTTAACTGAAAAAAGAGCATACAACAATAAGTTTTAATATGATCTTTTCTATTATTCTTATCTTCTTCATTAAACATTCTTTTTTAGTTATATTTTTTATTGTTATATATTATAATTTGTTTATAAAAATTTGTTATATTTTTAAAAGGGTTTTTGTATTCATTTCACCATTAAGTTTTGTGCTAATGTTAATGAAAAAATATCATTCATTACATTAACTTATTATTTCTTTCTTAGACTCTTTTTGGAAAATTTCATAAACAAAAATTTATAAAAGAACAAATAAATCTGCATTTAATTAAACTAATAGCATTTCAAATTATTATTCAAGTTTACCTATTTCATATTTACAAAAAAAAGTATCTTTAATTATTTTTATATATATTAAAATAAAAAATAACTTTTATTTTTTTGCAGAATTTCCTTTTAATATTTATACTGAAAAAGATAAGGAAAAAATGAAAAATATTTTCATTTTATTTTAAATAGAATTAGTGATATTTTATTGACTTCATTTTTCGCAATTTTTTTTTTTTTCCCTTTAAATATGTTTAGAAATATTTATTAGGAAAAATAAAAAATAAATATTAAAATAAATTAAAATTTTCTTATTGATATATTAAAATTTAATAATTAATGTAATAATTATTCAAAATAAAAAACATAGCAAAAATATAAAAAAATTAGTTTTATTTTAATATTTAATATACCTAAATTGTTATTTAGTATAAAAACAATAAAAAAAAAATATATTAATTCTAATGTTTAATTAATTTAATATTTTAACTTATTTATAACATTTTTTTTTTAAAAAATTGATTTATATTCTGGAATTTTAAACTGTAAAATGTGTCATATATGGCTACAAATATGATGAAGATATTTTATTTTTTAAAAATTTTTAAATTAAACATATCCATAATAAAATTAATCATATAAGAAATTATATTCTTGTTTTTAAAAAATTATGTTGATGTTTTATCTATTTTAAAACATAAATAGGAAGAAAAAAAGAATAAGTATTTTACGTTAATTTTTTCATAATTTTTATTTTACATGCGTTTAATTTACAATTTAAGTTTTTTTTCATATATAACGTAAAAAAATAATAAAAAAAATAAAATTAATAGAAAATAAAAAATTTTAAATAAAAATATTCAATTTATATCTTAGTTTTTTTATCTACCCTAAATTTATAATTTATTTAATATTTTCGGCTACTTTATGAAAAAAAAAATTATAAAAAAATTTATTGTTCCATAGTGAATATTTAAAGTTTCATCGTTTATATAATTTTAGTCATAATTATGTATTTCTTATAATTATTACAAAGCAAATCATATTTAAGTAAATATATTTAGTAAAACCATGTTTTTTTACTTTTTCATATAATTTTATTCTATTATTAGTTTTTTTCAACTGAAAAATATTAATTTTATCTAAGCATAGAAGAAATTATGTAGAAAATAAAAATTTTTCATTTTTTATTAAGGTTTAATATTTTTTATTAAAAAAAGTACGACATATTTAGTATTTTATAGAAGTTTTACTGATATATGTTAAATCAGTATATCAGTTATATAATATGCAATTAGGAACAAATTTTCTAAAAATTCATTAGAAAATAAAATTTTTAAATTTAATAGCATGAATTACAGAAATCACTTGATACTTAGATTTTCTTTTATATATTTCTATATTGCATTTTATTTTTTGTTACAAGTAAGAAAAAATTATATTAAAATATATTCATTTTATTTTATATTTTTTAAATATATTACTAATTTAATACTCTTTTTTGCTTTAAAAAAAAAAAATAAATACTTTTTTAAATGCTTACTATTATGATTATAATATAGTGTACATTAAAAATAAAGAGCAAAGAAACTTTAAACTTACAATTCAATAAAAATCATGTAAGGAATTTATCAGAACATAATGTAGAAAATACTTATAAAAAACAAGAAACTTTAAATAATTTAACGGGAGAAGTTTTGGAAAATAATTGTTATGAAGCAACACGTTTAGAAGATTCAGAAGAGAAGATTGATTTGGATTATATGAGGAGTTTGTGGAAGGATATGTATAATGAACAGACATTAAAAAATGATATGCTAAATTCGTTAATAGAAAATTGGGATAATATGTGCTTAATTCATGGGATGGATAAAAATTCAACAATTGAGGTTTGTAAAAATACTAGGCTAGGTTGTTGGAATAGAAGAGATGCTATTCAAAAGAAGGTAAACGATATTAAATATTATAATGAATTCAAAGAACTTGAGGAAGGATGTACAAAAGAACAATTTTTACATTTCCTTGATAAGACAAAAGAGGAAATGGAGGTAAGAAGAGAAAAATTATTGATAACGTGGAAAGAATGTTTGGATAATTCTATGAAGATGTGGGAAATGTATGTTAAAAAATATAGTGAAAAAAAGGATGGAGAACCAACAGAAGATATAAAAAAAGATATGTAATAAAATTTAGTAAAATGAAATTAACCATTATAAATATATAATTTTATTGTAATAAATAAAACAAATTGTATTAAAAACATACATTGTATGTTCAATATTATAAAATAATAACATAGATAAATTTTGTAACATTGAGGTAAATATAATTCTAAAAAAGAAATATTTTGTCTTTTTTTTTTTTCTTAACATCATAATGTCATTTTTTTGAGATACATAGTCAATAAAAAATATTATGAATGTTTTGGAGGTTTTAATATGATATAAAAAAAAAAAAAAAACGGCCCATAAAAGTTGCTAGTGCATACAAAAGACCCTTAATATTTGTTTAACAGTATTTGCATATAAAGATATGAATACAAAAATGAGTTTCTAAAGGTGAATGCAAAGATATTCATAGTTAAATTGGTGTAAAAAGATATGCATGTATAAATTTATGCATAAAAAAAAATATTATAAGTTTCATTTCTTGCATATATAATAGTATTAATAATATAAGTTTTTAATAACGGACAATATCTTTTATAAAGCTGTAGAAAAACTTCATTAAAAATATTATATGAATTAAAATTATCTTATTCTATATAGAATAATTGTATAAAAAGCATAAAATTACCTATAAGTTGTTTTATAATAAATAAAATAAGTAGAAAATTTTCTCCATTCTCTTAATTTGACTCTTTAATATACTACCAAAGTATTTAACTCAACCATTTAATAAATCATTATTTTAAATTTTCTTTTAATTTTTTTTAAATTAATCTTTAATTTTTCTGATTTTATTATTAATTTAATAGATTTATTATTAATGATTTTTTTTATTTTTTTTAGTTTTTATATAATACTTGGAGAGTAAAAATATCATAGTTAAATGTGTTTATATATAATACGTTCTTATTGTGTATAGATATAATTTTTGTGCTATATTAATGCTGATTTGTTAATTAGACATTCAAATAGTTTGTAATTGATTTATTAATTGATCCATAAATAACTTAGAATATTGAACAAGTAAATTGATAAAGGGTGTTTAAGGTTCCTTTTATGATTTATTAATTTCTCATTCAATGACTTTGCTAGAGTGTTGAACAAACATATTAATAAAGAACATGTAAAGTTGTCTCCACTAATTTAATGAATTTAAATTTATTTTTAATGCTATAAACCAGTAAAATTTATTTATATGTTCTACTTCATTGAATATTGTTTTTAAGAGTTATTTATTTACTTTAATGAAAATCCTATATTTTTATTAAAAATTCAAATCTTCATTAATTATTGATTTTAATTATATATGTTTTATTTATAATATTATCAGTGATGTTTATTAATTCACATAAATTACTCTTAAATTAACAAACCTAAATAATAAAAAAATACAAATTAAATTATACAAATACTACGAAACATGAAAATTTTGTTATCCTTAATATGAAATTTTCTCATATCAATTTAAAACAAAATATACTACAAAAGGCTTTCTTCGTCAACAACTCTCCTTTTAATTTTCAAAAATTAAATCTTTTTAAAAAAATAAATAAATATATTTGCTTATACATTTTAAGTTTATCAAAGGGAAAATAAAAAAAATTAACAATTAATTTTTATATTTATAGAGCACTTACATGGATGGTCTATAAATAATATTATAGATATCTTTTTTATAAAGTTTAGATAAATAAATAGAATAAAAAACATTTATTTTGTTCATGCTAAATCATAGGTACAACGTGCAATTATAAACGAGTATTCTAGAATAGTTTATCAAAAATGCATGAACTAAAAATATATATATGTATATATATATTTGCACTGAAAGTAAGTACATTAAAAAAAAAATTTAATAAATAATAATATTTTTTATTTTTTTTTTTTGTGTATATATCTTCAATTTAAAAAAAAAAGATATCATGTATTTTTTTTTTTTCTGTACATGATTCTGACTTAAAAAAATAATATATGACGATAATATGTTATATTTTTTTCTAAAAAAAAATGGTAATTTTAAAAAAAAAATTTTAGATATTTTTTTTTGAGGGAATGGAGTATGCGTTCAAATTATGATAGAGAATATATTTTATTTTAAGTTAAAACATTTAAAAATTTTAAAATTTAATTAGATAATAATTAAATTAAATAGAGTTTGTTCTATATGCTCTTTATTAACTTGTTTGTTCAATACTACCAAAGTCATTGAACAATCAATTAATAAATCAGTGGTTAACTATTTATTTTCCTTACAATCATTTCTTTTTATTCTAGAAAAAATTAACAATACCTTTTCTTAACCATTTAATAAAAATTCTATATTTTTATTAAAAATTCAAATACTCATTAACTATAGATTTTTAATTTCATATACTTGATCTATAATGTTTTAAGTAATTCTTATCAATTCAAATCCATTACTCTCAAATTAACGAAAAGTAAATAATTAACAAAATACAAATTAAGTTATGTAGACACTATAAATACGAAAAATTTATTGTTTTTAACAAAAAATTTTCTTTTAAAAATTCAAATCAAAATTCTCTATGAAGAAACTTTTTCGTCAACAGTTTTTTCTTCTATTTTTCATGACAACTAAATCATTTTCTTAAAAGGAAATATATTTTTTCTTATGCATTTAAATTATAAAAGCAAATAATAAAAAAATTAACTAATTCTTTTTTTTTTTATCTTTTGCTTGCATGTCTAACTATTTATTTTCTATACATCTATTAATTTTTTTTCTCAAAAATGTTAATGATGCCTCTTAGTAACCACCTAGAATGAGATCATAACTAGCTTGATATTTTTTATATAATTTATTAATTTATAAAAGGTTTATAATAACTTCTATTAACCAGCAACATAATGAATACTCAAATTAATAAAGTATTTAGTTACATAATTTTTATTTATTATAAAATTATTTACTATATATAGTATATAATGTTTCTGTAATATAACTATATAACAAGTTAATGAAAAATATTAATGAGCTTTTATAAAATAATAATTAGTAACTCACACGAAAAATATAAAATTAACTATGTGTATTAACTACTCAAAAAAAAAAAAATTTATTATGTTTTTATGAGTTGTTTTTGTTAAGTGTTTTTTTATTTTTTTTAGTAATTGATGAGAAAATTTTTGTTGAAATTTTTTTTTTTTTTCGAGTTGAATTAATTTTTAAGACAAACAAAAATAAATTCTGAATTAAAAGAAAAACAGAGAGAATTTTTTTTTTTGTTAATTCGTAATTTTTATGTATATTTAAAAGAATGTTAATAACTATTATTTCAATTTTTTGTTTTATAAAAATATTACTTTGCATATAATTAAAATTTTTGACGAAAATTTGAATTTTTCATAAAAAATAAGAATAATTTTTATAAAATTAAATTAATACCTCTAAAACAATAAATTTTCAGTTGTTTAAACTGTATGAATAAAGTTTACTTCCTTGTAATATAAATATAATTTTACATCAATTAAAATCAGTGAATATGCATCTATATTACGTTTATTAATTTGTTTTCTCAGTACATTGTTTATTAACTTGCTTCTCAATTACTTTTCTAGAGTAATGGTTAGTATAAGGTATTTTTAACCTTTTTGAGAACAAAAAGTAATAGATATATGAAAAATAAATGATCATCCATGCAAGAGCTAGATAGAAAAAAAAAAAATTAGTTAATTTTTTTTATTTTTTTTTTTGTAAATTTAAAACACATAAAAAAATACATTTATTTTTTTTAAAAATTATTTGATAGTCAAAAAATTAAAAATACAAGTTGTTGACTAAAAAGTTTCTTGTATCATATTTTGTTTAAACTTATATAATAAAGTTTTATATTAAAGATAATCAAATTTTCATGTTTTGTAGTTTCTATATATTTATTTTATATTTTGATAGTTACTTATATTTGTTAATTTGAAAACAATGGACGAATACTGCTAAACATAACTTTTAAGATTATAAATAAAATATATGTAATTAAAATTAATAATTAATGAGAATTTAAATTTTTAATAAAAATGTAAGATTTTTATTAAAGTATATAAATTCTTCTTAAAACAGTAAATGCTCAATGAAGTAGATTATATGTAAAAGATATTACTGTTTTATAGTATTAAAACTAAGTTAAAATTCATCTAGTAGAAGATACTACATGTTCTTTATCAATATATTTGTTCAATACTGTAGCAAAGTCATTGAATGGACAATTAATAAATCATTTGCATAACTAAAAATTTATTGTTTTAGAGGTATTTATCTACTTCGATAATAATTATTCATATTTTTATCAAAAATTTATATCCTTGCTAATACTATTGATTATATAAAATAATTATTTAGCATATATACTAACATATATATATTAAAGTTACTAAAAATCCTCTAATGATTCATTAAAATTAAATATTAATAAGAATAAAATCCTTTTTGCTATTTATTTTAAATCAACAATAAAATTTTATTTATTTAAAAATGAATTTGACGGGCAAAAATTCTTAAAACACAACGAAATCATCCCATTGAAAAAATGAAAATTAAAAATATATTTAATAAAACAACTTAAAAACATAAAAATAAAGTAATTTTTTTTTTTTTTTTTTGACTAGAGAATATGAATGATGGTCTATAGATTATATTATAGACTACTTTTATATAATATTTAGATGAATAAATAGAATTAAAACATTTTACTTTGTGCATGCTAAACTGCAGGGATAATGCACAATCACAAAAATTCACACTAAAATAGTTATTCAAAAGTATGTACACCAAAAGAATCATTTAGACTCTCACTAAAAGTGAGTACACTAAAAAAAGAAATTTAAATAAATAATAATTTTTTATTTCCTTTTTGTATATGCACAATTTTAAAAAAAAAAATATATATCATGGTAATACTTTTTTCTACTATTATTTTTTTTATTAAAAAAAAAATTAATTTTTTTTTTTGGGGGGAAACGAGTATATGCGAAAATTGTTGTGGAATGCATTTTTTTTT